AGCAACAAGACTGATCTCCAATGCTGCCACCTCAAGCATTGCCGTTTGCGTTGCGAATGCCAGTGCTGCTGGTGCGAACGTAGGCTTCGGGCCCAGAACAGGAACATTCCTACAGAACAGGAACATTCCTAGTTACGACACGCCAATTATTCAGCCGCCGTGAGTGGGTGAGATCGAGCACGCATGATGATTCACGGCCTTGCTTCGCCAACATGGTGACTGGCAAAACAGTTTTTGCTTCGCCCACAGGGCGACTTACAAAGCAGTGCTTTCTTCGCCACCAGGGCTCGTGGGTCGCTTGTGGCGGTAAAGCGTGTTTATTTTTACTGCCGCAACCCGCCACCAGGGCGGGGGCCCTTGTTTTTTTGACCCCCCACCTTGTTTACACCCTAAAGAAACCCTAAAGAAGCTCTGAATGAAACCCTTAATGAACCCAAAGAAACCCTGAATGAAACCCTTAATGAAACGTTAAAGAAGCCCTAAAGAAACCCACATGAACGATTGAGAATCTTGATAAGAATTCCTGATAAGAGACCCGTCATAAAACCCGAAATGAAACCCTAAAGAGTCCCTAAAGAACCCCTAAATCAAACCCTACATGAAACCCTACCAACACCCTAAAGAAACCCGAAATGAAAGTCTAAAGAGATGTAAATCTTAAAGAAACGGGAAACCCTAAAGAATCCCTACATGAAACCCTAATTATTTTGTTTTATTCTCTCCTGTTTGTGACCTACATGAAACCTTAAAGGCCCTAGGTGAAATCCAAAGAAACCCTACAGAATTTCCTGCTAAGAACCCCCTACATGAAACACTAAATGAACCCTAAAGAAACCATAAATTGACCTAAACAAACCATAAATGAAAGCCTAACGAAACTTTGAATGAAACACTAAATGAAATCTTAAATCAACCCCAAGCGACACCCTTAAAAACTCTGAATGAAACCCTAAATGGAACCCAAACTGAAACCCTGAAGAAAACGAAACCCTAGATGAAACACTAAAGAACCCCTAAATGAAACCCTAAAGAAACCCTAAAGAAACCTTAAATGAAACCCTAAAGAAACCCTAAATGAAACCTGAAGAAGCCCTAAAGAAACCCACATGAACGTTTGACCATCCGGATAAGAATTCCATGAGAAGAAACCCTAGAGTAAAAAAAACGAAATTAAACCCTGAATGACACCCTAAAGAAGCCCTAAATCAAACCCACATGAAACACTACAGAAACCCTGAATGAAACCCTAAAGAATCACTAAATGACAACCTGATTCTTTTGTGCATCCCCAATGAAACCCTAAAGACCCCAGGTGCAAGCCAAAGAAACCTTAAAGCCTTAAAAAAATCCAAATAAGAAACCCCTACATGAAACACTACATAAAACCCTAAATGAAACCCTAAATGGAACCCTAAAGAAACCCTGAATGAAACCTTAAATGAGACCCTAAAGAAACCTTAAGAAACCCAAATGAACGTTTGAAAACCTTGACAAAATTTGCTGAAAAGAAACCCTACACAAAACCCCAAAATGCAACCCTAAATGAAACCCTAAAGAATCCCTAAATCAAACCCTACATGAAACCCTACAGAAACCCTGAATGAAACCCCAAAGAAATGCAAATCCTAAAGCATCCCTAAATGAAATCCTAAGGAACCCCTAAATGAAATCCTGAAGAAGCCCCAGATGAAACCCTAATTCGTTTTCTTTATTATCTCCTGTTTGTATCCTAAATGAAACCTTGAAAGACCCTAGGTGAAACCTAAAGAAACCCCAAAGAATTCCTGATAAGAACTCCTGACAAGAAACCACTACATGAAACACTAGATGAACCCTAAAGAAGCCATAAATTAACCTAAAGCAATAAATGAAACCCTAACGAAAGATTGAAGGAAATGAACCCCTAAATGAAATCTTAAAGAAACCCCAAGCGACACCCTAAAAAACTCTGATGGAGCCCCTAAATGGAACCCAAACTTAAATCCTGAAGAACCCGTAAACGAAACCCTAAAATGAGACACTAAAGAAACCGTAAATAAAACGCCAAAGAAACCCTCAAGAGACCTTAAAACCCTAAAGAAACCCTAAATGAAACCCTAAAGAAACCCTGAATGAAACCTTAAATGAGACCCTAAAGAAACCTAAGAAAACCACATGAACGTTTGGAAACCTTGACAAGATTCCCTGAAAAGAAACCCTACACAAAACCCTAAATTAAACCCTAAATGAATCCCTAAAGAATCCCTAAATCAAACCCTACATGAAACCCTACAGAAACCTTGAATGAAACCCCAAAGACCCTAGGTGAAACCTAAAGAAACCCTAAAGAATTCCTGATAAGAACTCCTGACAAGAAACCCCTACATGAAACGCTAAATGAACCCTAAAGAAACCATAAATTAACCTAAAGCAATAAATGAAACCCTAACGAAAGATTGAATGAAACCCTAAATGAAATCTGAAAGAAACCCCAAGCGACACCCTAAAAAACTCTGATTGAAACCCTAAATGGAACCCAAACTTAAATCCTGAAGAACCCGTAAACGAAACCCTAAAATGAGACACTAAAGAAACCGTAAATGAAACCCCAAAGAAACCCTAAATAACACCCTAAAGAAACATAAATGAAACCCTGAATGAAACCCTAAATGGAACCTTAAAGAAACCCTGAATGAAACCCTTAATGATGCCCAAAGAAACCCTGAATGAAACCCTAAATGAAACGTTAAAGAAGCCCTAAAGAAACCCACATGAACGATTGAGAATCTTGATAAGAATTCCTGATAAGAAACCCGTCATAAAACACCCTGAATGAAACCCTAAATGAAACCCTAAAGAAACCTGAAAGAAACCCACATGAACGTTTGAAAACCTTGACAAGATTTCCTGATAAGAAACTCTTTATAGAACCCTACATAAAACCCTAAATGAAACCCTAAAGAATACCAAAATCAAACCCTACATGAAACCCGACAGAAACCCCAAATGAAACACCAAAGAAATGTAAATCTTAAAGAAAAAAAACAAGGTGGGGGGTCAACAAGACAAGGTGGGGGGTCAAAAAACAAGGTGGGGGGTCAAAAAAACAAGGGGGGGGGTCAAAAAAACAAGGGGGGGTCAAAAAAACAAGGTGGGGGGTCAAAAAAACAAGGTGCCCACCAGGGCGACTTGCAAAACAGTGCTCTTAGCAGATGCTTTTATGATTGACAAGGTCTGTAGGTAGCAAAGTTTCAGGGTGTCAAGTAGGAATAGGACATTGCTTCAATAGAGCATTCATGCCAGTGAGCCTTCAAAAGCTTGACATTCTGGCATCAACAAGGCACACCACACAAATCTTTTTCACTCCATTTCGCCCCAAAAGTTTGGATTGCTGTGCCATGTACAAACATTCCTAGTTATAGTTACGACACGCCAATTATTCAGCCGCCGTGAGTGGGTGAGATCGAGCACGCATGATGATTCACGGCCTTGCTTCGCCAACATGGTGACTGGCAAAACAGTTTTTGCTTCGCCCACAGGGCGACTTACAAAGCAGTGCTTTCTTCGCCACCAGGGCTCGTGGGTCGCTTGTGGCGGTAAAGCGTGTTTATTTTTACTGCCGCAACCCGCCACCAGGGCGACTTGCAAAACAGTGCTCTTAGCAGATGCTTTTATGATTGACAAGGTCTGTAGGTAGCAAGGTTTCAGGGTGTCAAGTAGGAATAGGACATTGCTTCAATAGAGCATTCATGCCAGTGAGCCTTCAAAAGCTTGACATTCTGGCATCAACAAGGCACACCACACAAATCTTTTTCACTCCATTTCGCCCCAAAAGTTTGGATTGCTGTGCCATGTACATCGCGCTGAGGTTAAGAAGACATGGTTATCAACAAGTTCATGAAGGGCGGTTTGGGCATGGTAATTGCGGTAATTAAAGAGATTTGAGATTGAGAAAGATGTGATGCTGTTGTGATTATAGTTTGTATGTATGCTGGTATGTATGCTGGGGGGTGGGATAGTATATTGGCTGGGGGCTGAGGCTTCCCCTATAGGGAGAGACTGTGGTAATAAATCCTATAACATTCATAATACATGATTATGACAATTATGTTGATTATATCCATAAATTTGATAAAATAATTCTATTAAATTTATGTTGCAATTATTTTTCAGGACTATTTCTAGCAACTATGATTTCTAGAAATGAAACCTATGAAATAGATAAGGTAAGATAATGTATATTTGTATATGCTTTGATGAATTTTATTCAATACAATTATGATGATTATATCATATATTTTTTTACGGATGAGATGGATGAGATGGGTTGATATGATGAGCTTGTTATGATTTATGTTGTTGGTTTTATGTTGTTGTTGTTAGGATTTTTGTTATTGTTGTTTTGTTGCTTTGTTTTTGTTTGTATTTTGTTTGTAGTAGGTTGTTTTGATTTTGTTATTGTTGTTATGATTTATGGTATAGACTATTTTATAATCTATTGTATTGTTTAGGTTGTTTGAGTTTTTTGTTTTGTTGTTTTGTTGTTATGATTTATGTTATTGATTGTATTGATAGTAGGTTGTTTTGATTTTGTTATTGTTGTTATGATTTATGGTATAGTATTCTTTATGTTCTATTGTATTGTTTAGGTTGTTTGAGTTTTTTGTTTTGTTTTGTTGTTTGTTGTTATGGTTTAGGTTATTGTTTTCTATAAGGTGCTGCTCCCCTGTCTTTGGTATTAACCCCATAGAATTTGCTTGTGTGATAATGTGGGCGGTTAGATGAGAAAGACGGGGGAGCAACAGTCTACCCTCTGGTGAACTAACATAGCAATGGAAAATCACAATTTTTCATGGGAAAATCCACTATAAATGGCCATTTTCCATTGCTATGTTAGTTCACCAGAGGGTAACTCATATATATGTAATTGATGCATGTCTCGACAATCCCATCATTTGTAGTGGATTGACGCCTTTCATGAAGTTCTGAAGGTCACAATGAAGGCCTCAGATTCGACTGAGGTCAGCAGTCCAATGATCCTGACGGGCTATGCTGCCTTAAACAAACTCCTGGGAAAGAACGTCTACTCCTCCCAGGCTCGACCATGGGCACCGGACCAGAGACTAGGGATGATGTCTTGCCGCAAAATGATACTGGCGACTTACTGCACACATTTAGTATACCATGAAGTCATTAAGTAAGATGAGCAAGAGACCTGCACTCCGTTCTCAGGCTGATAACGCTGATAACACTCGTTTCCGCGCTTCAATTTAGGTAAAGGACGCGTTTTGCTTCCAAGAAACCTATAAAAAAGAAGCCAAGAAACAACCCCATGCGGCTTGCCGTATCTTGCCGTCAGGATCAGTTGGGTGGGCCACAAATCATGGTGCCCAACGGCGTGACGCACCAGGCAGGTGAAACCATCCCTTCACATCCCACGACACGGCGCGTCTCGATGGCAGGTGGTCAGGGACGATCAGGAGGCCCGTTGCAGTTATTTAACATAGCTGTGGAACATGGCCCATTAATAGATGATTTATAACGATTTATAACGATTTACTTTAATATATTAAAAATGGAGATTTTCCCATAGCTACGGTACAGTATCAATGATCACATATTCTTCAGTTTTTGATATTGGTTGATATTAGTTCATCCAACTTTTGTAGTACCATCCATAGAACCAGGGAGACAGAAAAAATGTGTGAGATTCACTTGACAGGTGCAGGAGTGTGCGGTCAAAACTATGGAGATGGCTTCTAAATTCTAGGGTCCTCACCAATCTCACCATAAACTTCCGAGCTTCTTGAGCTTCGACTGCAGGGAATGGCGGCCATCTTGGACTGGTTGAGCTTTGTTCCCAAGGACTGGGCGATTGGCTACACCACTGGAGGCTGGTGGCATCTAAAAATCGTAGCTACAGCATGTAATACACTTTTTCGCCTAAAAAGATACTAATGTGGCCTGTACATATCTATATAGTGTATAAGTGTAAGTGTATACATATACATGATACATGCATATATATATATTATATAGATATCATAGTCATACTTCTTTCCGTTGTAGAAAAGCCTTTTGCTTTGCCAGGACATCTCGTCTCCTCCTCCCATTTGTTGGAGCCCCAGTGCCTCACATGGCAGCCCCCAGTGCCCCTGAAAGTTGAACGTCCACCGAGGCCAACCCGCAGGGGTGGACCCATGGGATCGTGATGTGGACTTTGAGCCCAGCTTGTGCCTAGGCCGATGAGATCTGCAGAAATCTGATGAAATCTGCAGATAATTCTGGTCATAACTTGGGGTTGTTTTGGTCCAGTTCCACGCCCCATCACGCCCCAGTTAAACTGGGGTAAACTTCCAAGATATGACCAGTGATCATCGAAGCTGCAAAATTAAAATCTGCCAAGGTTGCCATATGATCCTCGCGATTTCCTGCGGGTTCCGGGGACCTGTTTGCAGTGGAAGCAGTGGATGTGTGGGAGCTAAACCTTTCGGCTATTCGTTGTTCACCTGAGTTCAGGCGACTTTCAGTTGCACCTGATAGGAATGGGAAATACATGGAAATACCATTCTTCGCTGTAATCTATTAAATCATGTTAAATCCGTCCAGGAATGTGCTCTGTCACTTTGGAAAATGAGGGGTGCTGCCTTCGAAAGACTAGATATCTTGAGATCCTTTGCGCCTCTTCAAACAGTGCTCGCCACAGCTCGCTCATCTCCAGGGTGTCATTGACAACGAGGGCAACCGCATGCGTGGTTTCTTCGATGCTGGATCCTGGATCGAGTACTTGGAGGTGCATCACTCAAATCATCAGTCGTTCCAGTGATCTTATGATTAAAATATATTAAAATGAAGCATAGTTGATGATATTAATATATATTAATGGTGGTTTTCACATTTTTCACAACATGCAATGATATGCAATGTATTGCAATGTACCATAGTTATCCATAGTTAATTATACCTGAGTTTCATCAGCGACATGGGAAACAGTCGCACAGTTTTTTCCACTTCTTGGCAGGGCTGGGGCCGCACGGTGATCACTGGCCGTGCACGTTTGGGAGGCCGGGGCCGTACCATAGTGGAGACCTATAGTTGTTGTTACCCTCTGGTTATGACTAACATAGCCATGGAAAATGGCCCATTTATAGATGGTTTACCTATTAAAAATGGTGATTTTCCATGGCTATGTTAAATATCCAGATGGTATTTTTTGTTGTCGACACTGGACACTTCTAGGCCCACAGCTCAATGGTTTGGCGTACCAACGGAGTCGTCGCTAGGCATTCCCATGGGTGTCATTGCTGTGTGCAGCCTCAGCCGTGGCGAGTGAGGAAGTGACCAGGTTTCGAAACACTCATGGACCAGTTTTGAGATTATAACATATTCAATTGTTTCGGTGGTTGAAGTGAGTTGTTTTTTCTACTTCAAATTATGCACCCCCAAAGTTTTGTTGGTCAAAAAGTCCATACTAGTCCATATGTTTCCACATTAAACCATATTAAATGATATTAAATCAATTTAAATCATAATTATTATTTCATATTAAACAATACTAAATCACATTAATATATATGTACGTATAATGTATATATATATATATTATAATGTGTTCCTATCATATCCCCAGCTGCTTGGTGCTTCCCATCCCAAACTTGGACCAACGCCGAGGTTGAGACCCGCAGCGTGGATCGCTTGGTCCCCGCGGATCCTTCCAACTCTGAGAGTTGCGAGGCAAACTCCAGGGCTGGAGTTTGCCTTCATGGCTTGGTTTCATGGGTTAGTGGCTTCAGTTCATGGCTTCATGGGTTAATGGTTAATCCTTTCTGGAAAAACACAAATCGAAAAAATGGAGAATCCAATGGGTTGGGTTCAAGTCACTGGCTAGTTAGACACTGGTTAGTCACTGGTTGAGGATCCAATGGGTCGATAAAATTTCACATTGGATGAACCGTTGTGGATTAACCCTGGTCGATGATCCAACGTCGGATTGACGGACAGGAGTGCCGTAACGTGGATTCTCCATGGACTATCGGGAGATGTCAATGACTGAAAATACTTGGTTAATACTTGGTTCATAATTGGTTCGTAAGAATTGATCAGGAGTTAATTATAGGGAATAACCATTGAATAACCTTTTAATTTATGGGAATCTTCCAACATTGACACAGATGATCCTTGGGTGAGGTCCCGATGCCAAACCACACTGGGCCTCAGGTGAAAGAGAGCATGGGTGGCAAGGCCTGCGATTCTCCCAATGGCTCAGAATTTCGTGAAGCTTTAGCGATTGTTAATCCCTTCCGGAAAAATGGTTAATGGTTGAAGTTAGTGGTTTACCAATGGATAATGGGTTAATGGGTTAATGCTTGAAACTGGAATCTTCTTTGTTTAATGCTGCTGACGTGCTGACTGATTGCAATGCATGTGGTCGGAGATCGGCTTTGCAGCAAACATGCACACCTGGAGGTTTGGTTCCCTGACAGCGCCTTTAAAACGGCACAAGCCTTGAAGGAGCAAACCATTTGGTTGAGGGTTTGCCTTGAACCCAGTGAACTTTTGATTTGTTTGGAGCTCACTCGACTTTTGATTTGTTTGGAGTTCATTCGATTTTGCGAAGCCCGCTTGATTGACTGTCACAGGCCTGAACACAGCACCCGTTTTGGTATGTTGACTGGTTGAGAACAGCCTGTTGCAGGACTTCAATCGTGGAGAGAACCTGCCCGTGGCAAGCTCAATGTCCACTGAAGGGCACGCCACTCCTATCCTGCACCAGGACTTTTTGGTTCATCTTCGGTCATTTAGGTCTGCGAAAAAAATGAGTACAGCTCAATGTTTGATGGGTACCACTTGCCAGTGGACCCACAGATTTTTTGGATATCTGAAGCCATTTCATGCCATTTCTATCATTTCTGAGGGGTTTGTCTCCAGCACTCGAAGTTCAGGTCATCATTTTCGCCAATTGGCGAGGCTTTTCGGGTGGCACCCGTGGGGAAGCCTGGTGCCTTGCAGTGACTGGCCAAAAATGATCCCAACACTGGGGCCATGAAACCTGCAGCTCCAAGGGTGAGGGGGGAAGATCGCAGATATCGCAGCTCCCAGGTGACATGTACAATGAGATCCTGAAATTTGGCGCCTCTCGGTGTCAACAGTTTTCAACATTTTCAAAACCGCCAGGGGTTGATCCGCAACTCCCTGGCTTTCCAAGGTGTTTCTTTTGATTTACCAGGGAAAAATCTTCAGATACCGCTACTGCTACTCGACATTCAGAAAGCATCTTCGGCAACGGGACCAAGCTGCAGTCACTTTTGCATCACCCCCGAGTTATTTCACCTGTTGATGTGAGGCCATGATTGTGGATGCCCTTGTCGAGTGCCCTCAGCTATTGTCAGCTATCGGGCCACCTTTTTCCTCTCTTTGATGGCACCGTTGCTTGTTGCATCTTGCTGCTCCAGGTACAAACACCCAATTTTCATCTACATCCCCAAGCACGGCGAACTGCGTGGCGGAGCATGGGTGGTTGGGGAAACCCAGGGCGATCAGGCGAGTTGAATATTTGTGGAAAGAGGATGAAAGAGGTACCCTCTGGTAATGACTAACATAGCTATTGAAAATGACCATTTATAGTGAGTTTTCCCATTAAAAATGGTGATTTTCCATAGTTATGTTAGTTTACTTGTACCAGAGGGTACTTATGTTCAAAATGTCTTGTTTCCCCGAAGTCCTCCGCCCCTGAAGAGGGGGTAAATCAATGATTGGAACTCCTGAGGTCATTGATCCAGCCATCAACCCGGAGAAGATGGAGATGTGGGGGACTGAAATCCCTGGTGACGTATTTGACAAGACTTGTTGTTCAATATTGATACCCAGCTTCAAGACATCCTATAAATATATATAAATTGGTATACTGTAAGCACCTACAGTAGTGAATATCTTGCCCATTTCTTGGAATCCGTGCCCTGGCTCTTGCTCGGGCTGGGTTCTGAGAACCAAGAGGGTATGTCCAAAAGGGTGGAGCTATTTTTATGGGCCATCACCCATCACCCATCACCCATCATCACCACCATCATCCTCATCATCCTCATCATCCTCATCATCCTCATCATCCTCATCATCCTCATCATCCACATCATCCTCATCATCCACATCATCCACATCATCCTCATCATCCTCATCATCCACATCATCCACATCATCCACATGATGTCATAGTTATTTGATGGGATTTAGTGATACCGATAGCCCGATAGCCAAGCGCCCGGCAGGTACGCCGATGTGGACGCACGAGGTGGTATTTTGGAGCCTCCAGGCATTGTCGAGGTGAAGTACAGAGCCCCCCAACAGGCCGGCGGCGAAGCATTGATTTTTGACCCAGTTGAGCAGGGTTCAAAACCTCAGTTCAATTGGAATGTCAGGATCCTAAAATGGAGGTACTGTACCATATAAGAGTTAGGATAGGCCTTGCCCATCTTCCAACTCATCAAACCCAAGCCATTTCAAAGCCACCTACCATCTCATCATCAACAAAACCATAGGGGATACACACTTTCCAAATTCCAATCAAAAAATGGTCAAAATCATCTTTTCAACAATACCCCCAAAAGCCAATAGAGATGGATAAGGTGGCCTAAACTATGATTTTCGGGGTATGGATACACGAGTTGGAAGATGGGCAAGGTCTGTTTGATATGATTGTTGTTGTATAAGTATATTACTACAGTTGTGCCTCTTGAAATATACATACAAGATAATATTATTATGCCAAAGAAAATATCTTTCCAAAAACGGGGCAAGGTGTTGCTCCTTCATTTCAACCATGTCATTCATATCATTCTATTCATTTCCTCACTCATCATTTACAACTACTAGTACAATTACATAACTTACAATATGGCACTATATTGTCCAATGTATGGGTATGTTCATTATTTACCCTTTGGGCGGTTAGATTTGTTGTTATGTTTCCTCCTTTGATACTGGTATGAAATCCACATCCACAGTAATTACATTGGTTGGTTATATTATCAAAAAACGACTGAACATCTACATAGCCTTCATTGGGTATTTTTCTTTTTGCTGTTCTGTCCTGTTGCTTGTAATTTTCAACTTTTCTTTCATAATAACTTGTCATACATTTATAGTTGAATTCATCCTTTACATCATCACTATATTGATAAAACTTCACCTTGTTTAAATCTCTTGCTCTTGTAATTGC